CCTCTTCTTCCGCCCTCTCCCCCCCTCCCCCTCCTTCTCCCCTCCCCCCTCTCCCTCCCTTTCCCCCCCCTCCCCTTCCCCTTCCCTCCCCCCCTCCCCCCCCCCCCTCTCCTCTCTCCTCTCTCTCCTCTCTCTCTCTCCTCTCTCTCTCTCTCTCTCTCTCTCTCTCTCTCTCTCTCTCTCTCTCTCTCTCTCTCTCTCTCTCTCTGCTACTTCCCGCTGGCGCATCCTTGGCTTCCCGCCCTCCTGCATGGAATTGGAGACGAGGACCAGAAACAAGGTGCACCACCCGGTAAGTCGATCGCCTTTATCTGTTTGCCTCTTTTGAAATTTGGCACGACCGGTTGCTCTGCACGTAGCAGCCATTTATCGCTATCCGCGGTCTTGCGGGTAGACACGGCCACCGCGAGAACCCGATTCCGTCTCCCCTCGACCCGCGGCAAATAAAATTAACATTGAAAATTATCGCAAAAGGGGACTAAGCGATACCCCCCCTTACCATTGGTCCTTCGAGCCGGATATCTGATTGAAAATTGGACAATTGCTAAAGTGAAATAGCTTCTCGTGTTTTCGCTCGCGCGCTCACGCGCTTTTTGTGGACATTCCTTCGCCCGTGTGCCCTCGCGCCTTTATGCGCACACGTTCCTTCGCTCGCGCGCGCTCTCGTGAATTCCACGCTCTCGCGTTTTCGTTTCACGCCTTCGCGATTTGCTTAAAATCTTGTAATTGCATATACCCTCTCGTTGTTCGCGTTCTCGCATGGACAGACACTCGCGATATGGTTCGCGCCGCCTCGCATCTTGCAGACGCTCTCTCGCGATATCGTTTTCGCTCTCTCGTACTTGCAGACACACTCGCGATATCGTTCGCGCTTCTCGCATGTGCAAATACACTCGCGATATCGTTTCGCGCTTCTTGTATGTGCAGACCATCGCGATATAGTTCGCACCTCTCGCATTTGCCGACCCTTTGCGTTATAGTTCGCGCCTTCGCATTTGTGGCAGACTCTCTTTATTTCGTTTGCGCGCTCGCACTTGAAGACATTCTCTCGTGCGTGTCTCGCGCTCCAAATGCTCCATAGCAGCGTATATCAAAATTTCGTGGAGCGTTACCCGTGATTCGTTGGGATCTTGCGATCCTGTTAACATTCGTCGCGTAGAATTAAGTCATTGCGTTTCACCCTATGTTTACTGGCGTTATTGCAATTGTTGCATTATCTTGTATTTCCTCGTTACGATTTCGTTCATTATCTTGTATTTCTTGTTACAATTTTGTGTTATGTTTTGGTCCTTCCTTGTATTTCCGGTCTTGTCGATACCATTTAACGCGGTCTTGTCACGGATACTCGCTGCATTTGCCAATCCTATTGCGAATTATTACTCTTGCTGGTAGCGATTGTTGCGTGATTATTGACTCGTTGATTGCTATCGCTAACGGGATTATTATCATTTGCGACGCTCTTGCATTGGCTCGTGTGATTCTTGATTGTAATTAATACTGGCTTCATTAATTGTCAAAGCGACGTCGAGTGAAATTGCTGATTCTGGCTTAATTGAATAGATCTTAGTCGCGCAATTTCAAGCCGTATATCATTCTAAACGAAGCCAAGGATTTCAAAGCCTTCCGTTGTTTGCTAACACGGTGGCAGCGAGAGCGTCGTCTTGTTTCTCCTTTTTCTTTCGCGCGTCGGGACGTCCCCGCGTATTGAGCCGCCCGGACGGAGGTTATTTCGCCTTCGTTTCAAATTGTGGAAACACGGAATCACGTACGGTGCCTCGTTTGGAACGCGGGCATACTCGGTCGCTGTTGCAAAACACAGAGACCACGGACGGGGTAACATTGAATTCCTTTCTCCTTCGTCCTCTAGTAGAGCTTGAATCTTGGAGTTTTCGCTGCGTTAGCTGCCTCTATTATTCGTCATTGTTTTGATTGGTTACTCGGAAGGGAGATTTGCTTGACTCTTCTTGGTTCTCTTTCGATCTCGTTCACCGTTCTCGTCTTTTCTCCTTTTTCTCTCATTTCTCCTTCTTCGCGCCCATTCTCATTTGTGAATTGTCGTCAAGTCACGATGACGAAGACTGCGCAGACTAGAAGGGAATTGTGTGTGAGAAGGATGACGGAAATCCATGACGCCTCATTGAAGGCGGAGTCCAGTGGACAGGAAAAATCGCTGTTCCTCGCACGTTATCTTAGCTTGGCAAACATAGTGGAGGAATTTGAAGCTGCACATTTAAAGGTACTTCAAGATGCGACTGCCGACTTTGACGCGGAGGATCAAGTCAGAGAACGTTTCGATCGAATGCATTACGCCGCAAAGGCCAAATATTACGAGCTTAAAGAAGTGTCTTCCCCATCGGCGGCATCAAGCTCTTCTTCGACCATTCGATTACCCAAGATTTCTTTGCCTCAGTTTGCGGGGGAATTATCGCTCTGGCCGTCGTTCATTTCTCTCTACAACACCTCTATCCACAACAACAAGCAGATTTCTACCATGGAAAAGTACCAATACTTGTTGTCTTCATTGAAAGGGGAAGCGCTTAACGCGGTTAAAAATTTGCCGTTGTCCGAGGATCATTATCCTATGGCATATGAATCATTAACGGGGCGATATCAGAATAAGAGGAAACTCGCTACACATTATTGGAACTCTATCATGAAAGCGAAGCCGCTGAAGCAGGATTCGGCCGACGCCTTACGCCGACTGTGGGATACGTTCCAGGAGAACGTTGGAGCGTTGAAGCTGATGAGCTTTCCGACCGCATCGTGGGACTTCATTTTGCTCAATCTTTTGCTAGATAAACTTACCCCGTCCTTACGGGAAAAATTTGAATCGGAGCATAGGAAGACCGAAATTCCTAGTTATAGTCAATTGACGAAATTCCTTCAGGAATATTGTAAGGTCTTAACCTCTATGTCTAGCACATCGGACACGGTAGGGAAGGCGGAAGCTAAGGGCGCGAAGCTCAATTGCCGTCCTCCAAGCCCGGTGCTGCGGTCTCGTCGTTTGTGACCGGCACGATGGCTTGTGCAGTCTGTAAAGAGCAACACTCGGTTGCGAAATGCCCTCAGTTTCTGAAATCAACGGCCAAGGAAAGGTACTCTATTATAAAGAATTTAAGGTTGTGCATCAACTGTCTTCGTTTGGGTCACAACGCAAAGGCTTGCCCCTCTAGTTGGACGTGTCGGTCGTGTCAATCGAGACATCACACACTCCTCCATTTCGAACAAGGCTTAGGCTTATCCCCTGCGGCCACTCCTGTGACTGCGGATTCGTCGAAGCGGGAAGCGGAATCGACCGTTACCTCGCAAACCAATCAATCGGTAGTTGCAATGACTAGCATGATGGATTCCAGTCCGGTAATATTGCTGTCTACCGTCAAGGCCGAGATACTTGACATTCACGGTAACGCGTTTCCGGTTCGGGTCTTGTTGGATAGCGCTAGTCAAGCGAATTTCATCACGGAAAGTTGCCTGCGAAGGGGCGAGTTCGATCGCACCAAGCATCGTATGCTCGTTTATGGTGTAAACGACCAGAAGGCCGCCACGACCCAGGGTAAAACCTCCTTCGTGATTCGGGTGCCAAATCGAGCGGAGGTGCGCCTGCCCGTGGAGGCTACGGTGCTTCCACGCATCTCATCTCTCTTCCCAACTCGTGGTATTGAGGGTCGATCGTGGGAGCACTTGGACGGATTGCCGCTCGCCGATCCAGACTACTCTGGGAAAAAAAGAGACAGTTATAACCCATTTTGGGACCCACCATTAGTAATCGAATTATTTGGATTGTTCGTAACTCTACTCTGGGAAAAATTTTGACCGTTTTTTGATGTAGTTAAGCAACTTAACATTTCGGTTATTGCCACTTAAGTGAAAATTATCTTTGCGTTACTGAATATCGACAGAACTAATTGAGAGAATTGATTAGTATTACTCTAATATCTTGAATATGGATAGAACGGCTAATTGTGATTTTTAGTTACGCGAGATAAAATTCGTAAAAGTTAGAGTTACGAACAATCTAAATAATTCGATTACTAATTGTGGGCCCCAAAATGGATTGTAACTGACTTTTTTTCCCCAGAGTACTATCTGCCTCGCTCGGTCGATGTTTTACTCGGAGCAGAGGTCTTTGTTTCGATTCTTCGAGATGGTTGTAGAAAAGGGGGGGCCGGAGAGCCCGACGCCTTCAATACAATTTTTGGCTGGGTGTTGATGGGTGCGGTCTCTTCGCATGCTCCGCGAAGTTTACACTCCTTCGTGACTTCGCTTGAATCGATAGACGACAAGGTGAGTAGGTTCTGGAGATTGGAGGAAGTTCCGGATTATTCTTCCAGCTCTGAGGACGATAGACGTTGCGAAGAATTCTTTAAACAGACCACTCATCGTGATCGTTCGGGTCGTTTCGTGGTATCGTATCCCTTTTCAAAGAATCCTCCGTGTTTTGTCGACTCTCGCCAAACAGCGGTTAATAGATTTCGTTCCCTCGAACGCCCTTTCAGGGCGGACGTCGCTTTCAAAACGGATTACTGCAACTTCATGCAGGAATATCTGGATAGTGGGCATATGGAGGTGATTGACCGGCCCTATCCAGTCGATGGGCCGATCTATTACTTACCCCATCACGGGGTCGTCAAGCTTGATAGTACAACCACGAAGTTGCGCGTGGTTTTCGATGCTTCATCTAAATGTACCAATGGGGTTTCATTGAATCAGACCCTGTTGAGCGGGCCTAAGCTACAGCAGGATCTGATGGCAGTCTTGCTCCGCTTTTGTGTGGGATCGGTGGCTCTGACTGCCGATGTGAGGCAGATGTTTCGCCAAGTATGGATAGAACCGAGGCAACGTGATTACCAGAGACTCGTCTGGCGCTTTTCGGAAAGCAAACCGATAACTGATTATCGTTTGAAAACGGTCACATTTGGCATCGCTCCCTCTCCTTACTTGGCGATTCGCTGTTTGCTCCGGTTGGCCGAGGAGGGTAAAGATACCCATCCGATGGCATCGAATGCTCTAACATCTTCCTTGTATGTGGATGATATCGTCACTAGCGTGCAGTCCGTCGAGGAGGCGCGCGATCTTCGGAGCCAGTTGCAGTCGTTACTACGGGGCGGCGGTTTCGAATTGAGGAAATGGGCTAGCAGCCATCCAGCTGTGTTGGCTGGCTTAGATCCTCAGGCTTGTTGCGATTCATTCTTATCGTTTGAGTTCAGGGAAGACCAATCTCTTAAAATCTTGGGACTCCATTGGTACACGGGCTCCGATAGTTTCGGGTTTCGAGTCAATCCACTGGATCGGGACTGCTCCAAGCGCACAATCCTCTCGGAGTTGGCTCGTGTCTTCGATCCCTTGGGTTTCTTGACACCTCTTACGTTCACAGCCAAGCGCTTAATCCAGCTCTTGTGGATTTCGAAAATAGATTGGGACACGAGACCTCCCCCAGAGATATGTCAACGCTGGGAGAGGTATCGGTCCGAATTGGCGGTCTTGGCTTCGCTGCGCATACCTCGTTCCTTATCGCGAAATGGGGTGGTGAGTCGTGAACTACACGGCTTTTGTGACGCTAGCGAGCAGGGCTATGGGGGGGTAGTTTATATGCGCATTGTTGCTCACGACGGAGTTACGATTCGACTGATTGCTTCGAAGGCAAAGGTAGCTCCCCTCAAGTCTATTACTTTACCGCGGCTAGAGCTTTGCGCCGCAGTGTTGCTCTCTGAATTGATAACGTACGTGCGGCGAGTTCTTGGAAACCACCTAACATTGGACGGGGTGTATGCTTGGTCGGACTCTATGGTCACTCTATCGTGGATACGCTCAGCGCCACATAAGTGGAAGACATTCGTGCGCAATCGAATTGCGCGAATTCAAGAAAACATCCACATATCGTCTTGGGGACACGTCCGCACCCATAGTAACCCAGCGGATTATTGCTCTCGGGGATTATACCCTGACGAATTGGTGAAATGCACAGCTTGGTGGCACGGTCCGGATTGGTTGGTGGAATTTGAGCCTCGCCCCGCGCCTGGATTTGAATCCGATTCCCTTGGGAAAGAGGAGATGGTTCGTACCACACTTGCTTGTTTTGAGCCTTCGAATGGCTTCGTCGATCTTCTGCCTCGATTCTCATCCTTGGACAAGATCTGCAGAATCGCTGCTTACTGTTTGCGTTTCATTGAAGGATTGAAAGCGAAACCCGTTCCAGCAGTTATCGCGGTAGATCAGCTGGAAGCGCATTCGGCGTTACTCGTGTTGGTGAAGATGTTGCAGTCTCAATGCTTTTCCGAGGATATTGATCGACTCCAAAATGGTCAGAGTGTTCCACGAGCCTTGCGTAAACTCCAACCCTTTCTGGCTCCAACGGGAGTCCTCAGGGTGGGCGGTAGGATCGTACATTCCACACTGCCTTACGAGGCTAAGCATCCCGCGTTGCTGCCAAACAAGCACAGGCTCACGGAACTTATTATTGAGCGCACGCATCGGACCCACTTACATGTCGGTCGACGCGCGACGCAATATTTGCTAGCGCAACACTTTTGGATCCTGGGGGTACATCAGGCGATCAAGCGGATTTTGTCCAAATGCTATCGATGTTTTCGTGCCAATCCTCGTTTTGTGCAACCGCCCATGTCGGCGTTACCGTCTGAACGCGTCAATCCGGTAAAACCCTTTTCGATTACGGGAATCGATTACGCGGGACCCTTTTTTGTGACTAATCGACGAGCGCGGAGAGTGACTCCCTATAAGGTTTACGTTTGTTTGTTCATTTGCTTTGCAGTCAAGGCTATTCATTTGGAGGTAGCCTTTTCGTTGTCCACGGATTCTTTTCTGTCAGCTTTGCGACGCTTCATAGCCAGGCGAGGCAGGTGCTCGTTGTTGTTCAGCGATTGTGGTACCAATTTTGTTGGTGCGCATCGAGAACTGGTCAGCCATATGCAGCTCGCCTCGGAGACGGAAGGAATCAAGTGGTCTTTCAACCCTCCCTCAGCGCCTCACTTCGGAGGGCTGTGGGAATCGGGAGTGAAGGCCATGAAGACTCATCTCAGGCGTGTCGTGGGAGCTCAAATTCTTACGGTCGAGGAGTTTAGCACGTTGCTCATGCAAATAGAAGCGGTTCTGAATTCCAGGCCGCTCTGTCCCCTGAGCTCGGATCCTAAGGATCTCACGGTTCTTTCGCCGGGTCATTTCCTCACCATGGAACCTCTGGTGTCGCTTCCTGGTCCGGAGTTGACGACGGTACCGGTGGGTCGGTTGGACAGATGGCAGTTGGTTTAGCGAATGCACCAAGAGTTCTGGAGACGCTGGCAGCAGGAGTATCTCCACACGTTGCAGCAGCGTCCGAAATGGCTGCGGCAAGTCAATCCGATTCAGGAAGGCTCGTTAGTCCTACTAAAGGACGAAAACGTCTCTCCTTTACAGTGGAAGCGGGGGCGAGTGGCCTCGTTGCATCCGGGTCGCGACGGCGTGGCGCGAGTCGCTACGGTGCAAACTGCGGGTGGATCGTTAACACGCCCTATGGTGAAATTGTGCCCACTGCCGACGGGCAATTCATCATAGAGGCTCTTAAAAATATAATAGTATATTTTGGTGGGCGGTATGTTTGGCGCTCACCATTATTTTTTTCTCTTGTAAATAATATTGTCGCGTTATTGTGGTCGTGGCGATTGCTCGTAATCGCTAACTTGTAACTAGTTGCTTGATTATTATTGTTAATTGTAACGCATCATCGATGGATAGCGACTCGGCATTTTCTTGATCTATCGATTGGCTTATTGATTGGTGCTGCCCTCACTATCCATCGACGATCACTATCGATGTGAGTGGGGACACCCTACTGGCTTGAGCTTGCGGTGTCCTAGATGGGGGTGCGAAAGAACCACTGGTACGACGACAGCCTAAGTGAAAGGACGTACCGTCCAGAGAGAGAAACAGGAAGTACGCTTATCCCGCACGTTGGCTTGGCACGCTTAGCACACTATATATCCCTCTCTCTCTCT